TTGGACGTCACCCATCACTCGACACGCACAAGCCCCTGCTGTGGTACCCGGACGGATGGACGGGCCCTGCCCCGGCCTTACTGGGAGACCCGACAATCCCACGCGCCCCAGGTCACCAGAGAACCCAGGAGTCCTGCGGCCCAGCGTCCTCTCCGCTGCAGCATGCTGCCTCTGCCAGGCCTGACCTCAATTCCCACCCCTCCGGCCACACGCCTGGGACACCTTAACCCTCATGGGGACTGCTAGCCAGGTGATGGTGATCTAGGGGGACCTCTTGGGGACCTGCCTGGCCCTACACTTCTATGATCTGACACCACCAGCACCCCTGATCCCGATGACAAGCCTCCTTGCCAGCCCAGAGTCTCCCATCTCTTTCCTGCCCCTGGACACCCCGAGCCTCAGTTTCCTCAGGGCGCAGCGCTAGCAGCAACCCGGGCCAGGTCCAGCCCCTCTCCCCGCCACTAATGGACTCGGCAGTGGCCAGGGCTCCATTAGAGCCAGTGAAGAGCTTTTTAACGTCTGGGCGGATGCTGATTAATTGAGGCAAGGTCCCCCAAGCGGCACGGCCAGTTGTTAGCGCACAGGGAGATTGTGGAGCAGCCGTGATCCCTCCTCCGACGATGGAGCCGAGCTGTGGAGCACAGGCAGCTCCGAGAGTCTCTCTGCAGCGCTCCTGCCGCCTGTTGGACATGGCTTCCAGCCTCCGCCAAGGCATGCGAGTGGGGCTGGGGAGCCGTGTCCACCTCCCTGGGTGACTCAAGCGACAGAGACAGCACATGGGAGCTGCATGGAGCCAAGGGCTCTGTGCATCTCATAATACGCCCCCCTTTCACGGCAAAGAACCCTGGTTCCTGTGCATCCCATAGTACGCCTGGTCCCACCGAAATGCAGCCACCTCTGGGGAGGAGGGAGCATGCTGGAGAGACAGGATCCCCAGGGGTCCGGAGCAGACAGGAGCTGGGCTGGGTGACCTGCTGGGGTCTGAACCGGCCGCTCCAGGGAGCATGAAGCAGTCCAAGCTCATTTCCCCAGCCCCTTTGGAGCTGGGGGTTGTCGACAGCCGGGAACCCTCCTCTGCCAAAACTGGGGGCCTTCATTTCTCCCCCCCCACGGGCACAGCTGGGTGGTGGGACGGAGCAGGCAGTGGGGGTTGCATTGGGGATGGGGGACTTCCCTTGAAGGAAGCTACCTGAGCCAGGAGGGGGGTTGGGAGAAATAACCCCTTCTGCCCCGAGACTGAACAAAGGAGAGGAGGAGCTGGGGGGAGGGGGGAGAGAGGAGCTGCGGGAGGGGTTTGGGTTTGGTTTCAGTTTGGGCTGGGTGGTGCAAAGCAGGGAACCTCAAGCTGGGGGCTAAGATCCCTGAACCCCCCAGAAGGACTTGATTGAGGGGTTCTGGTTGTACCTACACACTCTGCTTGGGACTGTGTTCCTGTCATCTAATAAACCTTCTGCGTTACTGGCTGAGAGTCCCGGTGAATCGCAGGAAGAGGGGTGCAGGGCCCTGACTCCCCCACACTCGGTGACAGGTGGCACGGCCAGGCTTGCCCAGGGAGCCTGCCCCAGTCCTCCCCTCCCCTCAGCACCTGCTCTTTAGTGGGGCTGTGGCTGGCTCCTGGGGAGAGCTGGGAGTGGGGCTTGGGCTGGGTGGGCGGTGGTGGAGCCTTGGGCGAGGGGCAGGGTGGGAAGCGGGTTCCTTTCAGATGCAGCCTGTGTCATTGGGGACCAAGAGCCCCTGGGTGAGACGAGCGTGGTGGGGCTTGGAGAGGGGGATGGGCGTCCGCGTCACCCAGAGCACCTGCCGTGATCCGGAGCCCTGGCCTGGCAGCGCCAGCCGAGTGCCAGGGAGACCCCCCCCAGCCTGGGCCCCCAGGGCAGGGAAAAGGACAGCGGGGTAGGGGTGGGGGTGGAGGGGGGGTTCCCTGGCGGATAGAGGCTGCCGCTCTCCAGCCCCAGTGCAATCCCACCCCCACTGCGTAAGGACCCCGCTGGTGCCTGCAGATGAGGCTATCAGTGGGGGGGGGGGGGGAAGGGCCAGTGGGACGAGCAGCAGCA